GGTCTTCATTAAGGTTGAAAGGCAACTTTGTCTTATTGAATTTTTGGTATCAATGTATGAGTGCAATATACGTAGTCTAGGCACTAAAAAACTCAGCAAGAATGGTATCCACTACGAAGATGGTAGTCAGCCATTGAAAAAACATCTCTTTCGACAAATTTTTTTAAGGAATAAAAGTTTTTTTCATACGCCATTTAAATCTCTTAAAGACAACTCCACATCATATCATAAATCGTTGTACGGTAAAAAGAATATTACCTACTTTAAAGCATATGCAGTAATAAATGATTATGATATACTTAATAAAATCGGGCTTGTGTTAGTTTGAGTCTGTTAAAAGTTAATTATAATTATTGATATGAATAAAAAGATGTATATAAAGGTAAATACGTCATGATTAGGTAATTAAAAGCTACAATATAACCATACGTATTGATATTGTTGAGTAATTGATTTAATTGATTGCAGATATTGATATCATCATTGTACAACAAAAAAATAATATTTATACAGTTCTTTTATTTTTTTTTAATACATATTTCTCCACCATCTCTTTCATTCCTCCTTCAAACACAAATAAATACCTTTTTTTTCACGCGCAAATAAATACAATAAATACCTTTTTTTTCACGCGTAAGTAAATATCTTTTTTTCACGCGCAAGTAAAATACCTTTTTTTTCATCCGCAAATAAATATCTTTTTTTCACGCGCAAGTAAATACCTTTTTTTTCGCGCGCAAGTAAATATTAAGACGGAAAAAAAAGATATATCGGCATCAAGAACTGTATTTACTGCCTTTGGACAACATATGGTCATTAGCTATTAAAAACTTGTTTGTAAGTGAAAAACCATTCTAACTACTCTTGTCAGTTTAGACGTTTTGTGGTTCTTGGTACCTACTGTATTTACGATACTGCAATTTTATTACTGTTATCATTCTTCCTTTGGTTACGCATCGTGAATATTCACTTGTTTTCACTTCTCAATAGAGCTTGTATAGGAAGTAATGAATACTCAAAATACTGCCAAACTTACTACTCCGGAAAACTCTTCTCTTGAAGCCTCTATTCACGCTCCAGCTTCTGGTTCTGTTTCTTCTCATTCTCCTGCGGATCCCTCTTCTACTACTAGAGTTCCTTCGATAGGGGACAAGCTAACACTAAACGAGGCTAGGTCATATCATTAAGTGGTAAGTATAATTATAATAGTTCGCCGGATGGACGTATGTGTAGGTGTAACACTGCAGGGTTCACTGAAAGTCTTCCGGATGGTGAACTG